TCCAGGCTTTAAGCTCCAGGGCTTCCGGGGCTTAGAACTTTGGGGCTTATACCTTCAGGATTCTGCTTTATTCTATTTCGGTGTTGACGGGTCTCAGGCATAATTTTTCGCCTGAAGTAGTATCCGTTGCAAGGCTGTGAGGTTACGGGTTAAGTGGTGATAGTGCATCGGTCTGTTTGGGGTGGGGCCAAAGTTGTTTAAGTGTCTTACGTTTAGGGTTGTGGGGTTGGGGGTCTAACCTTAAACTCAAACCAACTTGGGACTCGAGGAACGACGAATTCAAAATCGAACTGAGCTGATCCTAATGCAGCCTCCAGCACCGACAGTCTTTCAAGACAAACCCCACTAGTTTCGTCCACCAGGCTTACGGGGACTATAAGGGGTAATTATTGCAAGCTATAAGTTCGTGTGTTGAGGGCTTGAACTGATTTGGTTGGGATCGGTGGGTAAGTAACGCCCTTAAGACAAAGAGCCCAACCTGGCCTGGACGCAAAACAGTGGAGAGGCGGATGTTTAGGGATTTAGGGTTTAGGGATTTAGGTTTTAGGGATTTAGGGTTCCAGGCTTTAAGCTCCAGGTATGTAGTTAAAATCCCAATGAGGGTACTTATAACTGTACTTACTATGTGGTCAACGCAGCGATCACAGCAACAATAACACTGGCACTCGTTAGGATAGCGGTCTTGCTAACGCACCGCGATGGGCAAAACAGCAGCCTGGTCCAAATCAAGGCAGTGCTCGTATCAAGCTGTGTCCCTCGACTCATGGCCATGATAAAAAGCTAGAACATACGCCATAAACTCAAAGCTAGCTAGCACTCTTGGACTCTTTGAGCGTCATCGAACCCCTTGACGATCCCGACAACAACAGCACCTTCACTTGACACTCATGGAACACAACACACTCTTTATCATGATACGCCTCAACCATTGTGACATCCAAGTGGGAGCGGTCCGGGCAGACACATGAGCAGTGCGCCTTACCCCAACGCCTTCATCCAAAAAAATTGAAACCTCACAGCTTCGCAGATCCCTTATAGAACTCTTACGAAGATCCTATATTATAGGATCACATCCTTTAAAGAACTCCTATGAGAACCGTATAGGATCCAGCTGTAACCCCGGAGGCCCCATAGCGGGGTCTTGAGAACGAGAATATGGCGTTGTGGCTCATCATGTTGGAGCTATACAAGGACCACAAGGGGATTCACGAGGAGCCGTGGTTCTTTTTCGTGCTAGTGCCATTACTCTGATGGTGATGATGATGACCCTTATCTTGCTATTCCTACCCTTATTCGTGGCACTAGCACTGTCATTACAAATTTGTTCTTCTCGCTTCATATTTCTTTCAGGGCCCTAAACCCTAAACGCAGGACCCTAAACCCCAAAAGGCCCCCAAAACCCTGTTTGCTTCATGACTGAGCCCCTGACGAAGAGCAGTCCTTCAGGGACAGGACCAAGCCTCGGTAGGGAGTCGGGCTGGGACTTCTTGGCTTAGCCTTGAGGGTTTTTGGGCTTGAAGAGATCTTTAAGGGTCCTTTAAAGGGATCTCTATGATTTCGGGGCTTAGGGTTTCGGGTTTAGGGATTTTGGCTTAAGTAGGATGCTGACCGGGGCTTTGTGAAGCTGGGGTTCAAGGTTCAAGCTAATCTTGGGGCTTCTTGGGCCCTCACCGGGTTCCTGGTACTAATTTTGTGGCAAAAGTGCATACTCCGCACGGAGGGCGAGAACTCAGTAGATAGGCTTCGAATCGGGGTTACAACCCGGGTTCATGCAACCTCACTTATAGCCTACTATAAGCATTGCTGGCATCGATATTACCACTTTTGCTTTTGCTTTTGCTTATAGTTATACTTTTAGTAGTAGTACTATACTCATTCCCCTGCTCCTGCAAACACGGATCCGACCCTTACAATCAGAGCTTAGGACTGTTGGGCTTTGAAGTTTTAAAAGGTCGAGCTCGAGGGTTCGGATTTTACACCCCAGTTCCAGCGCTGGCAATTAGGGTTGCTGCTGGGGATTGGGGGTGGAAGGTGGTAGGTTCAGGTCAGGACTGAGTCAGGACTTGGGTTTAGAGCTTAGGGTCGATTACTTCTGTTAGGATATGCAGCGTGCAAGAGAGGCCCAGGCCCCAAACAAGAGAGCCTCGACTCTCAAACCTGGGCCCCACCCCTGAATTCTCGAATGAAGCTATCCATAAATAAGCTATGGTAGGCCTCCCGTCTCCCTCCCTGAACTCTCGCCCCCGAATGCCAATTCAGCAAGCCGTGCTGAAGCACAGAAGGACGATCGGGTGCCCGGCGTTCGTTGAAGCGTGGCTCGGTGTCGATGTGTGTCTCCGTGCGCAGGTTGTGGTGCCTGGGATTTAGGGGCTCAGGGTTCCTGTAAAGGGATCTATAGGGTACTATAGGGCATTGTAGGGTTTAGGGTTTAGGGGGGATGGTTAGGGTTTCGGTTCTAGAGCTTAGGGTTCAAGGATGCCAGGATTTTAACTTTGTAAAAAAATTAGGAGCATGGCGATTCTGGTGATGACCATGATAAGCTCACTGGCGTATTTACGGTAGTTCTCGAAAATAGGGCCCTTTTTGGGTCCCCAGGATAGTAAGGCACCCTTGTAAAAAGGATTCCACCAGGGAACTCCATTTAGAGAACTACCCGTATAACTCGAGTCTCGGAGGAGTGCTCCCTTCGCCTGTCCCGCGGACACAAATATGGTTCCGAATTGTCAGACTAAGCCTTTTGGGGTTCATCTTACGAAACCCAGGAGCCTTAAAAGACAGAGGCTTTTAACCCTAAGCCCTAAACCGCTTTAATTATAGGTAATAGCTTCCGAAAGCCAAAAACCCAAGAAGCCTCAGGTAGTAGTACAGGCAATTATCAAGGCTTCTGCATTGCAAGGTCTTGCCTTCGTTCATGAGTCCATAAAACCCAAAAACCCGATAAAAAACCCTCTAAACATACCATAAAAAACCAAAAACCCACCACAAAGAACCCAAATCAACATCCGTCAAAGACCTAAATCCATGCAAGACCTAAACCCAGAGGGGATGCTGGGTGCAGGGCGCATCCATTGCCAGGTTATAGAGCTGCTTCAAGGAATCCATGGTGCGAAGCCTGGCATTTTCCGCTGCTTTCTGTGCTTTGCTGGGTTAAGGGCTTGTGGGTTGAAGCTCTTTAAAGCTTTCTAAGCTTTTCAATGCTTTTGAGGGGTATGGGGGTTTCCGAAAATAGGGAACCCTAAGAGAGTACCCTAAAATAGCAAGATCTTTATTATAAGGACCCCCCCCCAAAATCTTTTCGGAAACTCCCATCTAGAGCTCGAGACCTCCAAGCGCCAAAAGCGATTAAGACTCGGGGGAATTGAGGCCCTGTGGTCCATGGAATTGGGGTCTAGAATGGTGTGTATATATATATATATAGATTACGCTTGAGTCTTTGCCTTCGTCACACAGGAACAGAGTCAGCCAATAAAGCTGCAAGAATACATGATTTTGCGGCGCTGATGCTCGACAGATCTTGGAAAATGCCTCCTCGCTCTGAATCCGGGCCCGGGGCCTACGATAATAGGGACTGGAGCCACCGGATCTTTTCTCATTATCTATGGCTCCTTCAGTTTAGGGAGGCATCTCTTCCTGGAAATCGAGCCCTACCTACACTTTGCTATCCAGTCCCCTTCGGGTGACTGGATGCAGGAAGCAAAACGCCTCGTCTCAAACTCTTCACTTCATGAGCACACTGCGAGTGAGCAGAGGAATCGCTTCGCATTCGGGTTTCCGTGACCACTAACCTCGAATTCTGCGCATCTTTGAGCCCTCCCAAAACCTGAATTCGAAGCAACCTCTACACAAGACGCCAGGTAACTGATACCCGTCCGTCATTAACACGTGGGAATGTCTCAAAATCAAGGGTCGGATGCTGTAGAGAGGGGGGGCACAGTCATACCATGGAGCCCCCCCTTGCCTCCAAACCAAGGCCATGCAGCCGAAACCTAGAAGGCTTGGACTGTACAGCTGATAGCCCCCTTGAGTTGAGAACAAAACCCGAGGTAGACCATGAAGAGTTCTGATTCTCAGACTTCCCCACGAAGCCGCTGTCTCGGAGCAAGTCGCTCACAGTCGGGAGCAGCGATTCGAAACTGAACGGGCAAGCCCCGTCAAGTCTTCGAGGTGCCGAACGCTAGCTTCATCATGAGCTTGGCTGCCAATGCGCCTGCCGGGCTAGCTCGGAAAAGCCACAGTTTCAAACAGAGCTGCAACGTCAGGGTTTAGAGCAGCTTAGCATGCACGGGTTTGGGACTTTGTAGCTGTAACGCATGTAACCTAGCTGTTGTTGGGTTCCTTATGAGTTCCTTGTACAAACCCTCAAAAAGGGTAGTTGGCTTTCGGGGCCCAGGTAATGACCTACATCCCAAACGCCAGCAGCGGGTTGCTTGGAATCTTCTGGTAACCCAAGCTCGAGCCACATCGGGCCAGTCAAACCAAACCCATAGGATAGTCAAGTCTGACACAGTATATGCAGGATGCAGTTACTATATGGGAGTTTCCGCAAATTAGGGGTACCGTATTTGGGGTCGTTACAATAAGGATCCTACTCTTAGGGTCCCCCATTTTCGGAAACTCCCATATACCTTGCCAACAATCATGTGTCAGAATTCTGGCATCGGCTTCGGGTTCCGAGAGACTCCCAAGCCCTGGACCCTGACAGCCTTACGCGCCCAAAGCTCCCCAAGAAAACCCTGTATCCCGACCTGAAAACCCGAAATCCTCAACCCGAAACCCTGACGGTTTCGGGCTATCCCGACCTCAAAGCCCGCGCCTAGGAGCCCAAAATCCCCGAGTCAAGTATCATCGGCAACATGATTTAAGCAATGATGGGTTAGGATTGGGATTTAGGATTTGGGGTTGACTACGGTTTAGGGGTGTGCCTCAAACAATGATACTTAGGATCCCATTGTAGTTTGAAGAAGACTCATGTACGTGCGACCAAATGCGCCTTGCGTTGCTCACCAGTGGCTAGCAGCAGCCTTGATGAACTGCGCCGCCATGGAATCGGCCCAGGTGCCCTTGCCTGAAGCTCCAAGGACTTCATATTTTGAGCTTTTTCGCGCCCAAAGAGTTCGAGCCACAGGGCTCTTGTGGTTCTGGTGAACTTATGTAACTATGGCTTCTTAGGGTGCAAGAAGCATTGATGAATTTAAGTGTAAGCTGTTTTCAGGCTGCTGGATCTGGGGCCGGCTCAAGCTGACCAAAGCTTCGAGATGCTCCAGAGAAACGGACTCGGAAACACCTCAAGTACTAGGAGTAGGTTTAGGGTTTAGGGTGTAGGGGAGTACTTGGACCCTCTATTCCAGGAAATGTTCCAGCAATCTTTGCCAGAAGCGGAGATGTTAAACAACCTGGGTTGCAAGATTCTGACGGCTCTTGCGGTTTTGAAAACCTGAAGGTAGGTTCGTAAGGCCCTAGTTGCTGAGTTCATAACAGTTTTATGGTGGCTAATATTATCCCAAGAAGTGTAAACGGTTGGACAGAAGACTTGAACTCAAAAACCCGACTCGAAGCCCCAAAGCCTCGAAATACACAGCCCCAGCAGAGCTTAGGGTTTTAGGTTTTTTTTGCTTTTTGCAGGCCCTTTTTCGACTGCGTGTGCAGCAAGAATAGCTTACTAGGTGGAGCCTATGTTGGGGCCTCAGTGTGGAAGCAGATAAAGTTCAGGGTTTAGGGTTTCCCATGACCCTTTCTGGTCAGTCTCACAAAGGCAGCTGCTAGCCATAGCTGAAATATTCAGGTGACAACGCCCGGTATGCAACGTGTATTTGGTGGCAAGGACTTTGAGTTTGCAAAGCCGTTCCTGGGACTTTCCTTCCCGGCAACCCGCTGGAAGACTCAAAATTTGTACGATAGGTCTAAGCTTTAGCCGGATCGGACCTGCGGAAACTTTGGGGCATTGTCGCGGTATACACTCCATGGTATTGTGGGGGCACGGTGGGGCTGAAAGATTCACCCGAATCAATCCGTTGATAGCAGGATCTTGAAATCGAAGGGCCCCGAGAAGCAAACGAGTCTTGCAGAAACCCTTCAAGGTAACACGCCGCTATTGGTTTCCCGGTCTCTGAAACTTCCACCTGCGTCGGTGCTTCGCCAGCCGAGGTGGCCTGTCCCAAAGGAGTTGATTCCAGGGCTGCTCTGATATGATATGGCTTGACGATTTCGGGAGCAAAAATCTGGATGGTTTCTGGTGCCTGGAACCGTGCTAGTACCTGGACCCTTGGAATCCGGATGCTTTTCAAGAGTCTTATGGCTGAGCGATTTCAACACGAAAGATCTAAACTCTCAGCACGCCAGCTCCATAGCAAGCCAAGCTTCTGAATCTAAAAAAGGGGCCTTAATGATTCGAAGAGGCCATTATAATAAGGAATCCCCACAATATTATAGGTATTTATTTAGGATTTAGGCTCCTATGGTAAAACCCAAAACCCAAAACCGAAACCACAAACGATGCAACCGCTCCAGCCTCCCCGTTGAGATGCAGCCGCGAAGAGGAGAGGGTTCCTGGACGTCATGACTCATGACCACATAGGCTTTTCCGTATCTAGGGTTCAGAGGATTTAGGGTTTAGGGTTTAGGACACAGGGATGTGGTCCCCGATGGTGCGAGTGGCGGTGGGGACCAGCAGGGATCCCAGTTTAGAGAAGTTTGCATATGGACGAACAAGCGACTACTGAATGAAAGAATATAGAGGCCAGCATATATATATATGTATGAATATGTATAGGTCTACATTAATGCACATGCATATACTATATACCCACATGTAGATACACATGCAGTGTAGACAATGACGCAAACTAGCTCATAAACAAACACGCGGTATGTATTGAGAATTCGCAGTACGTGATGCATGATGGCATGCATTTCCAAAGTAATGTTACAGAATACCATGTGAAAGCTAGAACACGCGAACACATAAAACACACACACACACAGAGACGGAAATGTTTATGAAAGATAGATCGGATCGGCATCTCTGAACCCGGCACTCCAAACCTTAAACCCGAGACCCTTTCACAAAGTAAGATACCCCATGAGAGATCCTACTGAGGAGCACGAAGCGGGACCACGATCTTGAGACACCCCGCTTTGAAAGCACGTACACCACGCATAAAAAACACTGTAACAGTCGATCAGCACCCTTAGATCCAAAATGTACCTCCCAAGCCCTTGAGCCGGAACCTCTAAACCATAAACCCCAACCCCAAAGCCCTTACACCCCTTGTAGATCCTGTTTTGGTATCCTTGTAGGAGCCCTCACGATAACCCGTTTAGGAACCGCCAGTTTTATAGCAGCCCTATGTAACCCCTATTAGACCACATGGGAGTTTTCGAAAATAGGGGACCCTAATATAGTAGCCTAAATAGTAGGATCCTGATTAAATTAAACGGATTCCAAAATGAGGCAACCCTACTTGTCGGAAACCCTAAACCCTTATAGAGCCCTTTAAAGCAACCCTTATAGTACCGTTTATAGGAACCCTTATCCGTACTCTTAAAGCAACCCCGTCTGATAAACCCAAGCCAAGAGGCCGCAGCTGCTTGATGATCGAAGCGTCAAAGGGAACCCAGGGATCGTCCTACTGTTTAAGGGGTTCCTTGAAGGGATCTAAAAGGGTACCTTTAAGGGGTTTAGGGTTTAGGGATCGTCTTATCTACCAAGGCTTCGTGTGAGGGGCTCCCCATGAAACATCAGAGTAGGGCTTTTTCTTGCCCCAGACCCCCGTGAGGATCTGGAAAGTAGATCCCCTAATTTGGGGCCCTATACTACTAAGGGCACCATTAAGGGATCTACTTTTTGGATCCTCCCGGGGGTCTGGGGCGGGATATCTTGCGATATTTGTAAGAGGGAACCCTAAGGCACAGTGTTGCTTCTTGTCCAGGCTTTTTACATTGCCCAACACGCTTATTCTGGACATCAGGGAGCGTAGGGTGTATGGATTTTGGGCTTTCGTATGTTTGGGGTGTAGGGGATGCAGGTACTGGACGCTCTTGGCCAGGAACTCCGGGGATTGTTGGGCTCTTTCAGGGTTCAACGGGGCGCCTTAAGTTAAAGGTTCTTTAAGCGATTCTGTTGGAGTTCAGGCTGGCGGACTTGAGATTTAAGCCTGAAGAGTTTAGGCGGGCAAGGGGATAGGGTTTGGTGCCGGTGCCGACTAGTTGTGCATTCTTGCTGTCGAAGCAATGCACGGCTTTAGACTGCAAGCGTTTATCCCCGGACTTCTTGGGCTTCTACCTGCTTAGGGGCTGAGTATCCAGCCAAGAAAAAGCTAACATATTCAATTCTGGTAGAATTATACAAACCCCAAAAGATTAATAGTCACCTAATCAGCTACGTACTAAGCCTGTATGCAGCTCACAGACTAATCGTTCAGAACCCTCGCGGCAGCAGTGACGCCGACCCTATTATCGGGGCCTCATTCATGTGAATAAGGGTTTTGAGGAACTTGTTGTAGATAGCTATGATGCGGGGAGCATAAGGGTATCAGACAAAGACCATTCCGACCCCTTATTACTCAACACACTGGAGCTTGACCGCGCCCGACGGTCACTGCTTAGACGCCCAGGGGACTTAGTAAGTAGGTTATAAGAAGGGTTATAATTGAGGGAACTTATAACCCTACTTATAACCTACTTACTAAGTCCCCTGGCCCTCAAAGTGTTCTGCCTTGGGGAGGCTAGAAGGCGGCGCAAAATGCATTTTCGGCTTCAGCCCAAACCCGAAGCTCTGAACCCTAAGCCCTGAACGAAAGCCCTCATGAACTCTTAACTTACCTTTGGTTAGTAGGGAATGGAGGCATGGGGTACAATTATAACTACTATTACTACCATTTTTCCATTCCCTACTAAGGAAAGGTAAGTTAAAGCCTAAACCTCGCAGTGTCTCAAGATTTCGGAGAACGGGGTGATAGCAGGAGTTCCTTGTAGTCCGCAGTTTAGGGTTTAGGGGTCTAGGGCTTAAAGTTCAGGGCCCGTGTTGTCCCGAAGATAGACTTCGCATAATCGACCCCAAAGCCTAGTAATTACCCCCGTATTATCGTCCCTAATCTAATTAATGTAGAGGTACCACACCTCAAAGCCTAGTTAGTTTAATATACCCCACACCGCTATTCTAACATATGTGGCCACTGTTAGCGTCCTCCGTGTGCAAGATGAGCGTGGGAACGGCGATCTGGCCTAGAAAGCGGTGAGGGCTGACGTCCTCGTAGTACCTTGTCGCCAATACTCACGGAAAACTAAACTCAAGCGTTGAGAACTTCATTAGTTTAGTGCGTAAAGTTCAGGGGTGTTCAAAAACAACAAACAAACTAAGGCACTCGTCCACCGCCGCGTAGCCGTGCAAAGGGCATACCACGGCCTGTTCCACCTCAGGGGCTTTCACAAACAGGAACCGAGGTACAGTATCTTGAAATGGGGGACTATGAAAAATTCCCAAAAGACGGGTCCCTCTTCGTGTCAAAAACCATGCTGTGTTGGGGTGCCCCACAGACTAAGAAACACTAGTTTATTCAGGGGCAAATCAGCCTGAATCATACAGGTTGCGCCCGCCAACCCTACACTCTTTCACAACTAAGCCAACGATTTTCTCGTCTGCGGTGCCACCTGAGAGTGACATGTTCGAGGATTCCTCGAAAATCAAAACCTTACACCCTCAAACCCGACAACCAGAGTTTAGGGTTCATGGTGTAGGACCCTCAAAACTCTCACGAAGATCCCACAATCGTCCCAAAACCCAGCGCAAATCCCTCCTCCTCCAACACTAAAGAACTGATAGAGAATCAGCAACACGTCCTAAGGGCCTATATATAAGCCCTCTAAGGTTGCGCGTCAATCAATAGCCTGCGCTCCAAGACCTAACCCTCAACAATCAAAACTTAGGGCTAAGGTATATCAATTGGACTGAACACTTGAACCTTTTGGTAACCCCATAGAAACCCTGAGAAAACCCATCTAGCACCTTTAAACCCGGCGAACTATGATCTATTCTATAGCTTGCCCGAAGGCCTCTCAGACACAAGCTATATAAAAGCAAGCGATCCTACTTTCAGATCAAGATTGACCAAAACGTTTGACACCCTACAATAAGACACATCCCATCAATCAAGAAAACGCAGGCAAACACACATAACTCACCAAACACATAGACAAATGCAAACAAACCTGAACCCCTAAACCCTAAACCGAAGCCCAAAACCCCAAATCCTACTAAAAGCAAACCCAAAAAACCAAACCTGAAGCCTAAACGCAAATACCCGACATGAACCACAGAAACACACACACACACACATACAAACACGGCGGGACCTCTTGGAGGGAACCAGCGCTTTTCAGGGTAGCCGAGTCCACGAGCTCCATGGCCTTCGTCCCTTCCAAGGTCGCCTCTTTCAAGGGCCGACGGTGGGCAGGGGGGTGGGGATTGAGGGTATTAAGGAGTTGTGTTTTTTTTTTTGGGGGGGGGGAGGATATAAGCGGGGAGGGGGGGTTAGGGTGGTTTGGGGGTGTTAAGGATTTAAGGGTATGGGTGTGTAGCGCTTGCAGCCTGGACGTTCAGCGGTTTAGGTTTCTGGGCTTGGCTTGGGGTTCGGGGGTTCAGGCGTTTTAGGGGTCTATTGCGTGTGCAGGATTGGGGCTTCTTGAACGCGTGTGTCTCCAGCCCTTAGTGTTGGTGGGTGACGGTGATGGCTGGTCTTCAACATGCATTTCGGGTTCAAGACGCTTGAGGTTAACCGCGCAAGATTCTTCGAAGTATCGTAGGGCTCACCTACACTAGCATGCCCAGTAACCTAGGAATAAAAAGGGCTCCCTTGTTGAAACTTGTTGAAAAAGGGTAACTTTATAAGGAGCCTAGGACTACAAAAAGGGAATAAGGGTACTACTGGGCATCCTAGTACAGGACAACAAGCCAAGATAAGTGGAACTAATAAACCTTACCAACCCCTGACAAAACCGCAACAAATCATACTAAACCCTACCAAAACTGTAATAAATCATACTAAACCCCACCAAAACTGTAATAAATCATACTAACCCCACCAAAACTGTAATAAATCATACTAGATCTTAACAAAACCGTAGTAAACTAAACCAAACCCATTTCAAAAAACATAACATCCTTTCTAGGAGGTGCTTTTAAAGCCATTGAAAAATATTAGTAGGTAAGATCCTCTTAAGCCCAATAAGGGAAAATATAAAATGTCCCAAAGCCCTACCTAGCTTTCGTATAAATCATACTAGATCTTAACAAAACCGTAGTAAACTAAACCAAACCCATTTCAAAAAGCATATCATCCTTTCGTCGGGCCCAAGGCCTTGATATACTGCTTGCAGAGCTGGGACATCAGGTAGCTGAGAATTCGCTTCCCCCTGCCTCGGCTTCGGATGCTTGGGCCCCGAAAAGAAGCACATAGGCAAAAATCTTAAATTTGGTTAGTAGGGAATGGAGGAATGGGGTACAATTAGAACTACTATTACTACCATCCTTCAATTCCCTACTAACCACAGGTAAGAAATAAGGATGGGGATATCCCATATGTCCTCTTTGGGCCCCTAAGGATCATCTTCATGCGACCAACTTGGCAAGCGGTATCTATCAGGACTCTGTGTTCTAGCCCCTAGAACTTCTGCGCTAAACCCACGCGTAGTTTAGGAGAGACCATCTCACCAACTATTTACGCTTTGCAGTGCAAGACTATGCGGGGGTTTCCGAAAATAGGGGACCCTAATGTAGTACCCTAAATAGTAGGATCCCTATTATAAGGACCCCCAAATAAGGTACCCCTATTTTCGGAAACCCCCATGTGAGGGTTTCAGGCCTCTCTCGGCAAGACGAGGCCGGTTTTGCACCATAGACTCCTAACGTAGGGGTTTAGGGATTAGGGTTTAGGGTTTTAGGAGTTTACCACCAGGAACTTTGTAGCAAGGGATTAGAGTTTATAAGGTGTTTAGGACTTAGGGTTCAAGTCAAAAAAGGCCGAAGCTCTAAATGGAAAGCTCATCGACCCCCAGAAGACCTGCACGGACATGCAAGCAGATCTTAACGCCTGGAACGCAAAAGCAAAAAGCTCTCATAATCCCAAACCCCTGAACCCTAAAGGGGAGTCCTTAACGGCCCAACAAGCCCAATACAACTGAAGAACCCTCGCGAAAGCCGTAAACGGAAAACCCCAAAGAAGCCTTTGCCTAAGCAAAAGCAATCCTGTGGCACCATCCTTATCCCTCACCCCCAAATCCCCCAAACAACCCTGTCGAACCATGCAAAGCCGCGTCAAAACACATGAAGCCCTATACCACCCTAAACCCCTAAACCCTAACAACACTCAAGTCCGAATGGTCGGCTCAGGCGCTAGAAGAGAGCGACCGCGCCCAGGACGGCACGTCCAGGTGGGGGGCGATGGCCACGGCCGATCGGAAGGGCGTCTTCGCACCTGGCGTCTAGAGCATTCAGAGCTTAGGGTTTTGGACCCCTGCCTTGCAACCACAAAGTCTTGAACCGCAAATATGAAAACACGATGTGCAGCGCGCAAGCCCTACATGCCAAAAGCCCAAGTCCACTCAGAGTAGGATTCGGGATTTGGGTAGTCTAGTCATGTTTACGACCATCAGGGGATATGACTGGTCAGTAAAAATAGGGCTTGGGCTATCTTTCGGATATGCTTAGACTTATAGTAAGGGCCACATAAGGGAACATTACTAGTTAACCCTACAACCTACGCTTTCAACCCCAAAGACGAATAATGGTAGGCCAAAAGGGGTGTTTAAGATTCTTGGGGTAGTGATTCCTTACTATGCACCCGTCTATGGGAACCCTAATCCCTACTAAAACCCCATAGGCTAAAACCCCTTTTGGCCTCCTAAACCCTAAACCCCAAACCCTAAACCCTAAAACCCTAAACCCTTAACCCTACACCCTAAGCTTTAAACCCCAAAGAAGAAGGACTTCATAAACCCTAAACCCCTAAGCCCTAAACCCTAGACCCTAAACCCTATAAACACTCGAAAAGAACGCTTCAGGCGCCTTGGGCACCCAGGTGGCGGAGCAATTGAGTGCCTCCCATGGAGAAGCCCACGGCAGAGAGCTCCACCTGGAGATTGTAGTATCCTTAAGGGAGGGGGGTCCAAGGGGGGTATATAGCCTTGAACCACCCTCCCTTAAGGATCCTATAATGGAGATGGTCATGAAAGAGTCTTTGAGGATTTCACAAGAGTTCTAGAAATGCCCTATAAAAACCGCCCTAATTACAAGGGTTGTCTGCGAAGGCTCCGTGATTTTTTTTTTTGGGGGGAGTTTGGTGGTTTTGCTGGTTTGGGGGTGTAGGGTTTTTGGAGGCAAAGTGCAGGGCTTCAGGGTCGTGGACAACTTTGGCTTGATGACGGGCGTTGTGGGATTCATTCAGTTAAGGCTGATCCACGCTACTTCAATACCCTTCACCGCGATTCACCCTGAGTCTGAGGATGCCACCTGCGGATGGCGTGCGAGGATGTGCTGCGTAATCTCGTGCAAGTCTCGGAAGTTGTCCAAACACGTGACTTTGGGGGCAGTGATCTTCTGCCTCGTCTGGCCAACGCAAGACCACAAGCTTCTGCAAGCTGGCAGGCAGTAGAGCCCCAAGGGTTCGATTCCGTTCGACCCATGAGGCATTGGAAGCAAATTTCAATTCCTTTTGGAGACTGGCTCTCAGACCGCCGCCTAAAGATCGTAAACTGTTGCATCAGCACACATACGGAGTGCACATCTCCGCCAAATCTCAAACCCCATGTATAGAAGTCTATCTTTGGCGGCAAGGCACCTTCTGCAAAGGACAGATACACAGTAGACTACAAAGAGCCTTCCTTAGCAAACTGGCTGCACTGAAGCCTAAATCTACAAAACCTTCGGGCTTGTAAGGACCCTAGTAGGTTCCAGCAAAATAACAAGGGCAAGGTGGCCAAGGTGTCTCAAATCTGAGCCCACAGCCGCACGAATTCAGCAACGTCCGCGCGTATGTCTTGAACCGGAGGCCCTTACTGTAACCCTTGTGGCAGCTTAGAGGAACCGTATTACACACGCTTTAAAGGAACTGTGAACCTTTGATGGACCCTTTAAAGGAACCCAGAACCCTTGGAGGAAGCCTTAAAGAAACCCTTGACAGAACCCGTAAAGGAATTAACGGAACCCAAACAGAACCCTTAACAGAGCCCATATTCTTCTTCCAGCTGCCCCGTCTCTTCGGCTGTTTCGCAGCGCTGGTTCAGAGCGACGACCTGCAAAGAATCGCGCTGGGATCCGGCTCTTTGGGTTGGTTTTGAAGGGTGCTGTAAGGGTCCATCCAGAAAGGGCAGCAGAATACCAAAAATGGTTCAGGGGTTCAGTCAGATTCAAGGATGTCTGAGGCATGGGGGTTTGGGGGTGAGATCCGAGATTCATGTCGAGTTTAGGCCTGAAGCTTCAGAGTTCAGGAGGCCTTCGAGGGGCCTTCTGTCTTCTGCAGTGGCATTCCTAAGCCGGATCACTGCTTGCTACAGGGTTCCCTGGCGAAAACAGCTCTTCATCCATTTGTAGAGATCCACATAATAAACAAAACATAAGCCCCAAAAGGGAAAGCGCTAAAAGTATCACAAACGCGCTTTCACTCACTGGCTGCATGTTGGTTACGGTGGGATATATCTCAGGTTTCTTTCGTATACTACTGGACGTTATCTTATGTGGCCATCCTTAGACAAGGGCTCATACTTGTCTGATCTATATCAGCGATTCCCTATTTTCAGCACAATCCCGCATACCGAAACGCATTCGGTGAACTGTGCCGGCGGGTCCATCTGCTAAATATCCTCATGCTGTTTCAAGTTCAAGCCTGTTTCAAAAGACCCTTTGTATTCATATACAATATTCATCAATGTTCACCAGTTGGTTTCGTGTTGATATACATACATACATGCATACATAAATTCACACATACATTCACAGAGACATGTCTATCCTCAAGGCTCGAATGGCCAACAACACCTGCTGCAGTATTGTCTCGGGGCCCAAACGCCTGAACAAAATTTCTTTCAGCTTTGCGGCATGTCTCTGTCCCGTTCTCCCTCTCAGAACACAGCCCCGATTCAATGTCCTCCAGCAGTTTAGTATGACACAAACCCGGCTTGAAAGATCCGAACCCAGTCTCAGTAGTTTGCGATTGCAGGACATGGGGATGGTAGCCAAATGCATCCACCTGCTGAAACCTACATCACGATTCCATTCTCCTGCTGTTGAGCTAGGTCTCTCAACCGTAAGCCCAAGAAACAACGCGACAGCTTACAAGTCAGAGGCTCTAAGACACCACACTTAGAGGCCCAGGGGACTTAGTAAGTCGGTTATAAGTAGTGTGATAATTGGGGTATCTCCATTTAGGGTACTTATAACCGTACTCATAACCTACTTACTAAGTCCCCTGGGCCTCCAAGCAACCTCGAGTTGTGAAGCTCCCTCAAGAATCTCGGCACCTGGAATCCCTCTTCGCGCAAATGCGTCATGATGCTCTGGATCATCTTCATCTTGCTATGCCTGCGCTTGGGAGCAGAGTTGAGCACTACACTACACCCAACCCTGAACTCTGAAGGCTGTACCCAGTTTTAGAGCGGGTACGAGACTTTGGATCCGTGTTGTAATCTGCATAGCCCTCTTCAGCCCGAAGGATAGCCAAGAGGCTGAGTAAAGCCCAGCAGCACCAGAACCAAGCGACCGAAGTCTTCGGCCTCCGGTAGATCTCGATGGCTCATACAACGAATTGCTTTCTGGTGTCCCCCATATTTCTTTCGTCTTTTCTACGAGCTTGAGGAATAGGTAAGTGCGTAGGTACGGTTACAGTTCGGGATTGAAGTTTGAGGCTCAGGGTCGAGTGCATAGTTGAAGCCACTCGCGAAGCTCATCAGTTTCGACGTTGTAGATGTTTGATTCATACAAACCATTTCTTTAACGGCCCCAGTGCTAGGATGCCTATTGCATTTCGTTTTCGGGTAAGGGATTGTTCACCCCAGATGGAATATTTTGTTTGGGGCTTGTGGCAGGGTAGATGTAGTCGCTTTCGAAGGATCGAAGGCTTCAGGATCTACCATCCCAAACTCCCATGTGGGGTACTGGAACCTCCGGTGAGCCCACTACACTCTCAGAGCCACGAACCTAAATCCTACGCCTGAAACCTTTTCAGAACTCCTTGAATGCCTCCCAACGCCCTTTATCAACAACGTCACAAAACCAGAAAAGAATCGTTCAATTCTCCTTCTTGGCCCAGAATCCGGAGGATCGTGCCAGTGAAGGGAAACCGAGCTCTCATCGGACAGTTTCAACCTTCGAAGCTTTCGGGGTGCTTGCTTGTCAGAGTTCCTTGCATAAGGCTTCTGTCAGGACCCCATAAACAAGGGCTCCTTTACGGGTTCTAGCGCAAAGTCCTTACAGATGCTCACTGGGCCTCAAAGCTTAGCAAGACGAGTTCTTGGGGAGTCTTCGAAGAACATCCGAGCGCCTAGCGGACCGTCAAGCTCCAGGGTTTTGGTGCTTATAGGGCTCTTCTCAAGCTTCTAGAATTAGCTGCTTCAGCGTAGTGTTTATTTAGGGCTGAAGGTTTTTCAGAGAAAGAGCCTACACCGAACCCAGGCTCGGGCATTTGGTAGGATATGAGCCCCGCAAATAGCACGAAGCTGAGCAGAAGGAACCGCCTCATCAAAAAAATAGGGATCCCAATTTTCGCAGACTCTAGTTTCAGTTTCTGGACAATGTGGAAGGCGCACCCCTTCTAGACAACTTGATACTCCCAGTCACGCCGAAAGATGCCAACAAGAACTGAACCTGACCCACACACATGAAACCAAATCCTAAACCCCCAGAGGTAAACTTAAAGCCTGAACCGCTCCAAGGGACATCTCGATACGGCCTCCGCAATCCTGTACTTTCGCAGCATTCTGGGTGAAAGTGGCCACCAAACCTTTGCTAGGGTTTAGGGTCAGTCTTAGCTAACGATCGGGAACTAAGTATTGGGTTCTGAACCCTTCGGAGGCAGTTGCAGCGTAGTGGCTCCCTTGGATCCTGAGAAATCGGGTCCTTTGGAAGTGTAGGGTCCTTCGGGTTAGGGTTTATGACCGTGGCCTCGTGGTCTTCGAAACATGAACCTGTAGGGACGTCTGTCTTTGAGGAACCTTGCCGGTTGAAGCATGAAGGGTTGAGGACCGTGATAGGAGAAATACCAGCATCTGTTTTGGAAGTGCCTACTGTAGCCTCGCTCTTGGAGGATCTCCGCAGAAAGAGCTCTTGAGAAGCAAAATTCAGTGCCCGGAGGCCACTCAAGTTGAAGACGGGGTGTGGCGCGTAACCTGGCAAGGTTTTCAAGCCGATCGGACATGTTGGTTTTATTCAAGAATAGAAGAGTTCTAATCATGTTAGCAGGGTTTTGCCGTACATTATCGTGTCACCAGTAAGGGACTGTAACGGTTTTTTAGCACTTTCCGGGCACGGAGCAAACTCTATGATTCGCTACACCCTGAATCCCAAGCCGCGAGTTCCGCAAGCAGTGATACTGCTGATGGGCAAAATATTGAGTCATCGCAAGTACCCAGAACCGTGGGAGTTGTGGTCCTAGCCCACCCCCCCACCCACCCCACCCCCCCAACCCCCCACCCCCCCAACCCCCCCACCCCCCCACCCACCCCACCCACCCCACCCACCCACCGATGTGATGATGCCAGATGATCCCCAGGGTTTCGGCCGCCACTTAGAGACGAGGTCATGGCTTCAGGGCTCTGGGACTTCTTTAGAGGCCCAGGGGACTTAGTAAGTAGGTTATAAGTAGGGTTATCAGTAGCCTAAATGGAGTTACCCCACTAATAACCCTACTTATAACCGACTTACGAAGTCCGCGGAGGGGCCTCTAAGTAGTGTTACACGAAGCTTTGATCCCAACTCACCGGGAATGTGTCAGCTTGGGTTTCGGGTTGAAGGGTTTATTGTTTCGGGGTTCAGGGTTCAGGATTCAGTGCTTAGGGGTGTAAGGTTCAGGGTCTCAGGATTTCGGGGGCTAGGGTGTTGGGGGTGTTAAGTCTTAACACCCCAGGGTCCTATAAAACCTCTGGCATAACAGGAGCCCAGCACTTTACACCGCAGGAGGCCTGCCATGAAGCTCTTGACGTCATCAAGAAGCTTCTTGTGGCTTTCCGATCGGCCTGCCCAAGGAACAATCCCCCTTCAACGGTTAGCCTCCCTTCCTTCAAGCACCTTGGCTAGCTAGACCCACCCTACGGTGGCCAGGGGAGCAACCTAGCAAAGCCTCCAAATGAACCCATACTTGGAGGATCATGGGACTTAGTAAGTAAGGTTATAAGTACCTTAATTGGGGGTTATAAGTATAGTTACTCTAATTATAACCCTAGTTGCTAAGTCCCATGATCCTTTAAGTACTGTTGACTCAGTATTCAGGGCGCTCACTTTGCCATTGTTCGGTGTTCATAGGGACGCCCCAAAATCAGGGCATACGGTGTCCGGAGTCTATGCTGCGTTTCAGGAGGCTAACCCTCTGCTCTTCAAAGCCATATATTCCCCTAAATCTAATCTATAGAAGAATATATGTGTGTATATTTATATGTATGTATATATGTATGTACATATATATATATATATATATATATATA